TTGGAGGGGTTAGGGGTTTGGGGATTGGAGTTGGGATATGGAGTTTAGGAGTTTTGGGCGGCTTACGGTTTACAGGTTCTGGTGTGAGAGTTCCGAGGTTGAGGACAGGATATGTGCAGGACGTAACGGAGAACTTTCACATCGCGTGACTCGTTGAGACACATTTTGTTTGCCACACTCTGTGCCGGGCAGAAACGAACGCTAGATTTGATTGCTCGAAGTAGTCGTCGCACAGATTACAACGTCGCCCTAAGCACGGACATACAACCTTTGAAGTATATGCCCAGAGGAACGGCAGGCCATCAAGCGATTGGGCAGAAGATAGTGATCTACTAGAGCTCGAAGGACCCGCATGAGGAGACTTTCAACGTGCCAGTGATGTTGTTGCCCATTGGGTGTCCTCGGCTGTAAACTGTAAACCCCAAAACGATGCCAGAAGGTTGAAGCAGTCAAGCGATGGTTTGTACAGCGCGGCTTGGCTGGAACTTGCTTCGCTTGAGCCATCAACTCCTGGACATGAATGCTGAGGCTTTTAGGAACCCTAAACCGGCCCTAAATCCTAGATTTTGGAGCTTCCTTTCCGATTCGCCCGTCAAATCTGGAAGGGGTCCCTGACGGGAATCTCAGGTTCAGGAGGCCAACCAACTTATGCAGGCATTGATGATCATTGAAGGACCAACATGAGAATCAACCATAAGAGCAACTATGCGAACATAGAGTCAGCAAAAAGCAGCACCTGCGCAGACAGCAAAGTTTTGGATAGCAATGGTTTAAGACATCGAGGTGCCATAGCCCAGGGTGCAAGTAGTACGAGTTCTGCTTGTTAGTGTCAACCAAATGCAGCGTCACAACACATGTTTGTAGAACGTGTCTTATCAACACATGTTTATAGAATGTGTCTTATAATTAGTCGCGCTTCTTTCTTGATTCAGTACATTCCTGCATTCATATCAGCCGTTGTTGATTCCAAAAGCGTTGTGGTGGCCATAGAAGCTTCTCCATTCCACAAAGATGTAAGATGTAGGTGCCCTCGTCCGGACGCTTAGCAAGCTTGATGCGGCTTGAGCTTTAGGTGCATTTCTTGGACATCAGCACGTCGTGCTCACGGTAGACCTGGTGCATAATCTTCCCTCCCGAAACATCATCAAGAAACACTGTAGAGACCCCATATTTAAGGTTCTTTAAACCCTAAACCCTATAAACCTCAAAGGCTTGTTTTTCAGGAATCTGGGTTTATTCAGAGGTGCTAGTACTGGGAGGTCTTGTCTTGAGGTGTCAGGGTTGGGGTCGAAAGTCCGTCCCCTTGTGCTTACAAGGACGGCACTGGTCGCCGGTGGCCCATTCAGGGGCCAACTATACAAACATACTTTCCCTAAACCTTAAACCCTGAACCCTAAACCCATTAAGGGTCCGCACTATATAAACAGACTTCCCCTAAACCCTAAGCCCTAAACCCTTTAAGCGCCCACACTATATAAACAGACTTCCCGTAAACCCTATAAACCGATTAAGGGCCCACACTATATAAACAGACTTTCCCTAATCCTCAAACCCTAAACCCATAAAGGGCCCACTATACAAGCAGGTCTGTTGCGCCCAAAACTTGACCCGAAGCCCAGACCCCGATCTCGACTCCAGGGCCCGGCAACTCTTTACGGCTCTAGAGCCGTAAAGAGAATCCGTATGTGGGAAGTTCTCTAAGTCAGGGTCCCTTTTAGGGTCCTGTTTTAAAGCTAGAGCCATGGCCGGAGACTCTCCCGAGACCAGGGATTGGGTTTGGGGTTTAGGGCTTTGGGGATTTTGGGGCTAGGGGGTTTAGGGTTTAGGGGGTTTAGGGTTTAGGGCTTAGGGTATAGAGCCCTCAGAAATTAAAACAAAATGCCTTGCAGTTGGGGTGACCAGAGGCGATTAGGGCCTTGACCGGTAGACCCTTACAGAATCCACAAGAGACACGTTTTAAAAGCATTTAAACCCCAAGCCCGAAACACATGTATCATGTATACATATTTAGACCACCTCGGCCCTAAACATACATACATACATACATACATACATACATACAGACATTAAGCCACTTAAACCCCTTGCAAGAAGCATTGACCGAAAGGCGATCCAGGCCTTGACCGAGCATCACTTGCTTTCTGCCCCCGTGGTGGACTCCAGCGGCACCTGGACCCAGCGGCGTACGTTCTGGGTTGCTTTCAGGAGGTTTGCAAGGGTATTACTAGGGTTTCAAAGAGTTTGTGATGGAAGGGCTTGGTAGAAGGTGCTTTGAAGGCTTGCTTGTGATCGAAGAAGTCTGTACAACGTTTTGTAGGAGAGCTATAGAGCTTGACGAGGTCTTTACATGCATTCTTTCCGTTTGTTTTGAGAGCACCCCTTAATGTACGAAGGTGGAACGATGCCAAACTTTGGTTGCTTTCTTATAAGACAAGGAATACTCCGCCACTGAAGAGTATTGGGCTCTTTGGTTGCTCGCTGGGATTGGGGTTTGGTGGAGCTTCGGGTTCATGGGCCTTCAGGCTTAGGCCGTTGTAGGGTTTAGGGTTTAGGTCTCACAATTAGTTTGTCGAACAGCTCCTGGATCCTAAGATCGGACACAAAACTCCCATGCCGGATTCGGTCTGAAAATCTGGAAGAAGCACCTTCGCGAATGTCCGAGCCTTGGGTCTTTATGGTCCAGGGTCTTCGGCTTCAGGATTTGTTTTTCTAGGGTGCAGGGTGTTCGATTGCTTGGGGCTGCAAGGTTCTGGGTTTGGGGGGAAAAGGGTTGTAAGAATACCGGACCCGAGCCAGTGCTGCAAATTCAGCAGAGGCAAGCTCGTAGGCATGCTCGACACTTTGGACATCGCCGCTCACGTGGTCGAAATGGAGGCAGCAGGCAAGAAGAAGCACCCTAGCAGCACTTATATTCTACAGTAGCCCTCCATGGGCATACTTGCGATGTAGCCTCCATTCTCTTTTCTTCACTCAAGCAACCTTCCAGGTGACAGCTTCAGGGCGGAGGGAAACTGTGCAAATCTGCACATGCCTAAGTAGAGATTTTCATGCTGAGACTTTCGAGCCCTTGAACCCTCACTCTGGGTCCGCTATATATACTTTGACGATGGTTCTGGGGTCTATTGTTCAGATTTCTAGTGGAGACTACAGCATAGTGTGTCGTCGCCTCGACCAAGAGCCGTAGAGGCTATGCCCACGATTCTCACTACATGCTCTGTTTCGCGTCGAGAGTTGCAACATAGTTGTTATTTTCCTCCGTGTGGCTTCTTAGACAACAATAGTGAACAGAGATGTAGTGTGTACATCAGGTCATGTATTCATATTTCTACAGTTATAAATATTCATATAGTAGGTTGAATGAGTTGTAGTGGCTGCAGTTTAATTCATGCATAACCTTGCCCCAAGCCCTATGACAACTAATCACGCCCTTATATTGTAGTAGCCGTGTAGAACATAGAACCCTCACAGTCCCCTTCCTGTATCAGGACCCTGTTCAAACCCCAAACCTTAAACCCCAAACTATGAAGTCACCTAATTACAATGGATCGTCCATCACACCTCAACCTAGGCTTCCCAACGAGAAGCTGGAAAAGGTCATGGGCCGCCTGGCTAAATTCGAAGCCTCTTTGGCTTCGGGGTTTAGGGCTTGGGGTTTTTGAGGGATTTAGCGTTTACATGAGCTGCTTTGTCTTGGGGTGGGAGTCTAAGGCCGGGTGCCTCGGTGTTCTCGTAGGAGTCAGATGTACCTAATTTAAACTCCAGTAAGTCTCACGTGTGATGTAGGGTCTCTTGTTTGGGTAGAAGAAGGCCTTCATGGTTGTAGGATCTCTGGGCTCCTACGGAGATGGTGAACACGAACAGCTCAGTTCCCGGAGCCAGCAAGCCCCGTGCTACAATCTGTAAGGCGGGCACGCAAGGCACATTAGATGCTCTGCTGCGGATCATGGAAGACCCTCAAGATAAACCTCCTACCCCTAGCCCACAAGAACTGTTTTGGCTTCCTTATGATTTTCTTCGAGCCTTCCTTAACAGATACCATATTTTTGTTGGCTTCAGATAAAAATTCCAAGTTCCAAAACCTATCTCGGTAAAGCATTATCTCCTGAACTCCCTGAACTCTGCCAAATTCCTTGAGACTTAGCCCTTACAGGCTGTAGAACAAACGGAAATACCTCCCTTAGAGTCGAACCGCTAGCCGCTAGAGCCGACATAGAGAAACAATGCACGAGATTTTGCATTAAGCTCGAAACTCTTGTGAAATTCGCACCTCATCGCCTCAGGACGAGGGTCGCCCCACGCGGAGAAGAGCTTGTGCACCGTGGAGCTCGACCAGGATCTGAAGCAGGCGCCTGAACTCCTGCAATACCTATAGTCTCCATTGTTGTTCCTTTTTGGGGTTACCTTTTAGGATCCTTAATATGGAGTTGGTTAAACCAAAAATAGGAACTACAATGGAGACTATAGGTAAACCTCATAGTAACCCTGCCCGAAACCGACTGAGAGGGCTTCTTGAAGATAAGAAGCGATTGAGGATTTAGGGCTCAGGGATACAGAGCTTGTGTTGTAATGAGAAGCGCGAAGAGAAAAAACTGAGGGATGTGGGGCTTCGGACTCAGGGCTGAGGGGTTACGGCTTCTAAGAGCCTGTAGATGTATGTTTACGCCTCGGAGAGATTTGTTTTCAGAGTCCCAGGCGTTGTGGATCAACGATTAGGTTTTCGGGTTGAGGGGGGTAAGGGTCCGGTGTCTGAGCGAGAAGTCTTGTTGTCATCCAGTGCTTATAAGTAAGTTAGGTTTTGAGTTGTTGGTTTAGGCTGTCTGATGTACCGAGACATGTAAGCACAATTTGACATGGCACGTGTATGTTTCGGTATGGCACTTAACCCAAGTGTGCTCAGCAGGTGGTTGACAATATCTCCGGCAACCATCGGCGGGCGCTGGTCCTGGAAGATGGAAACTCTTCTGCTAACTGTGTTTGGTGCAGGCGTCAGGGCTGAGTGTGTTCAACCTACTAAAGCACAACAGTGTGGCACTTTCCAAGGGTGTCCCCCTCTTCCTCTGTGAGGAAGGATAGTTCCCAAGCCCTGGAGGCTGTGGCATGCCTTTTGGTGTCGGTCTTGGCCCTGACTCAACTTCTCAGCTAAGGCAAGCCGCTGAGCATTATTACGCACTCCACGATCATCGCTTTCATGAACAGCAAGCTCTCTGAACTCGAGGCAGGTCAAGCATACACTGACTTTACTTCTCACAATGTCCCCTGAGAGTTCACATAAATCATGACATTCCAAGTCCTGTTGCTAGTTAACCCGGCCCCCATATCCATTCATGAACCAGCTAACCTGTAGAATGTGGCGTGCGATGTAGGGCGATAGGGCTTCCAGTTCGCAGGGATTTCGGCCGTGTCTAGTTAGTCAGGGAGATGAGCCATGAGACTCGGTTTCGGCCACTTTTGCTAATCCTTCCACTCCAGGATGTCTAAGCCCTAGGTCGTTAGCTTACAGTTGAGCCAAGACGGCAGTTCTTTCCAGGAGCTGTTTTAGCGGTTATTCCCGAAAAGGTGGATCTACCTCCTGACTTGGTCACTTCCCGTTGTCAAGGTACAGTAGGTGCTTCGTTGCCCCAGTATCGGGGCTATTCCAGAATCTATATTGTGAGTATACTCTGAGCTACTTCTTAAGGGCCCCCGGGGCTTTGCCCCTGGATCGATGTGGCAAGTTCGCATCAGGCCCTGCTGGGCACCAAACTGGCGCAGGCAAGCTGGGGTGTAAAGTCAATACAGCCTGCAGTGACTACAAGGGGAAAGTTTGTAGGTACTTCTGAGGCTTTCCGGTTTGGGGAATTACGGATTTAGGGACTCCTAGTGACAAGTTCTTGGAGTTTCGAGTGCTCTGTAGATCTTGGGCTTATGTAGGCGGGGCCAGGGAGTGGGGGATTTCAGGATCATGAAGGAGTCCCAGCTGCGAACAGCATGCTTAAAAGGCTTAGGGCTCAGTGCTCTTGAGATTGTACATGTGCCGCAGGCAGCTGCAAAGCTTTTTCGCTGTACAGTATCCCTCCAGGTAGAGGCTGTCCGGTCCTGGGTTTAAATGGGTTGAATCGTAGACCTCAGACCTTTGCAAACCTGTCCCTACACTCTAATAAAATTTGTGCGGAAAGCTGGGTTTTGCATTTTACGCAACATTCTGAATGCTCCTCTATAAAACCTGTCAATCTGACGATGACGCTGCTCTGATGATAGCCCTTCACCTGTTCCGAACTTGCGTTCCCTAAGTTCTCTGGAAATTGCGGAGGTCAAGGTTGAGGGTTTTGATTTTTGAGATAAATCGGGGAGTCCACATCTTAGCTCCCGTATGTCCAGACTCCGAAATCCGAAGCCGCAAATCCCAGATCCCCAAAAAAAACCCTGGAAGAACTGTGATCGGGCACACTTTTTAGAACCCTACATCCATAAAGCCCTAAGCCAAGCATGTCCAGTAACCCTCTTGTATCCTCCTCAGCAGTGCACCCTACCTCTGCGCTTGAAGGACGTTTGTACTCCGGGCGTCACTACTATCAACGATTCGGCCACGGAGTCCTGGCAGCACTGGAGGGCCTGAAAGCTCTCGTGGGGTTTAGGTTTTTGTAGCCCCAACTATCATTTTCAAGTTTAACCTCAGGCATGACAGCTCGAAGTATTTATAAGCCACAAAGCTCTTCGAGAGGTTTAGACCATGTCGTGAACCAGTGTCATCCGGAAGAGCCCTATAAGCTGCCCTAAACCTTACCCTTTTCGTTCGATTGGTGGCCTCCGCCTGCCTGCAACGTTCGAGCACCCACTGCCAGTACGCTCGCCGCCCCCGTGCGAACGAGAAATCGATGGGACCCCCCCTGTGAAGGCTGTAAGGCGGCTTGCCAGGGGAAGACCTCCCGCTGCACATGGCCCCAAGTCCTGTAGATGGTGATGGTATAGGATGAGAACCCGGATAGTCGGATCCTTCAAACCGCTTTTTCCTCCGCGAAGCCTAATACAATCCTAGCGCCAAAAAGGCCCAAGTCTCCTGCCGACCCGATGAGTACGAGCTGACGCCCTCAGGCGCTTATGGCCTTCCAGACCCTCGTGACCAAAGGCTGGAACTATTCCGGGTTGGGAGGGGATGAGGGTTAGGGTTTAGGGAAGTTTCGGAATTCAGGGTTTAGGGAGGGGTTTGGGGGTTAAAACTCGGAGAGATTGTAAGATTTCGGCGAGCTTAGAGTTCTAGAGTTTGCTTGTTCTGTGTCCTTGTGTTTCGGTCTATGGGCTTGCAGTGATTCACCTTTGAGGGTGTGGGGCTTTGGGTTTAGATCTTGGCTTTGCGGGGCGTGGACTGTCGGATCGAGGTCCTACCTCGCCTTTCCAGGGTGCGGGGTCTTCAGACTGCTTGCATGGGCTGGGCGCTTGACTTTCAAGTTTTGGCTTATGGAGGGGCCTTGCGGCTTCATGCCTTGAGCCTCTTGAATCTGGAGCCCTAAACCCCTAAAGCTTTAGGGCCGTCTTCAACCTTATGCCGTGCTCCAGGATATGATTATGTCAATCTCAGGAGGGTGATCCCCATCATCCTAGAAGGTCCAATAGACTTGCTACACCAGAAGCCCAGAACTATAACCCCCCCCTACCAAGCCTGAAGGCGTTTCAAGCCTCGCGATCACTGACGAGGTGGGATGGGGGAAAAACAGATCAAATTCGAGGGTAGAGGTTGGGTGACGATCTGTGACAAGGTTTCGGGTGCCAGCCATTGTCGGGGTTCGCCAAGACCATGCGCACAACTGGGTCCAGTGGTGCAAGTTATGGCACAAAGTAGCAGCCCGCAGACTGAGCGCAGCAGCAGACACAAACCAACCCCCAAAAAATGGCGGATCCTGGGGGTTCCCGAAAAGCAGCCCACGGCATCAAGTTTGAAACTGATTCTCTTGCCCTGTCGTTGGTTCAGCTGCTGGTCCTCATTGAGTGACCGTCTTTGTCTGGCCGACTTTGACCTTCACGTTTAAGCCTAGGACCCTAGGAGCATTAGCAACCTATTCCGGGGGTTCCGAACCAAACGACCACCAAGACCCTGTCGACCACAATCGTCGACAACGCCGAAGCGCACCTGAAACGCACCTGAAATGCCTTATACATAGCAGAACCCCCGGATCTGAAATGCACTTGAAACGCACCCCCAAACGCGCCTCAAACGTACCGTGCAAGTTGGCAGTGAAAGCTTCACCACTTGTAAGACAAGCTCGTGCAAGTCGCAGCAAGCACATTTGGGCTTGTACTCCGAGATGTCATCAAAGCCGGAGATGGGAAGCAAAGGCATTGGGCTTAAGAGTCAGTTCACGTTAGTCACGGCCGTTGAACGTCCTGCATTTTCGTTGAAGGCAACTTGACGGCACAGAAACGTGCATTCGGCAACTCAAGTTTTTTAAGTTGTAACTTTACTTTTCGGGTCAGGCTACAGGCCGTACAACTCAACCCTGGGGCTGCGCCCTTCTCGCTCGCTTCAAAAAAACATCCTGCCTGCAAAAACAAAACTCATGTAAAGACCCCTCTTTATTCTTAAGCCGTGCAGGCTTGCTTTCAGCAACACCGGGCGTTAAGAAGAGTTGCATCAAGCACATATCTCTTATAGAACTAATTGAAATCCATTATACAGGCACTCCCTTTCCAAATGCAGTGGGGCTGCGCCTCCACACTAGCCCTTCGGTTCATCAATACTATAGACTAGACTATGATAGTTTACAACAGAAGGATAATAGAGGTTTCCCGTATATAATTTAGCGAAAAGAGAAGTTTTCCTATGCAACATAAAAATCAAGACCTCAAACACAAGGAGAAACACAAATTCGCACTCCAATACTTAGTTAGTCGACATGTCTGATCAGCTTGGTGCAAAACGGAGCCTCGCAGATTGTAACTCCCCAATTAGCTTGATGCGAAACCAAGCCGTGCAACTTGTACTTCTCAGTAGCTGGGAACAAGACAACACTTGGCAGTCGAAATATCCGGTATATTCCTTTGAGCATAACCTTGGGTTTTATCTCCTGGAAAGGACGGTGTGGCGATCACCGTGGTCTCTGCTACCGACCTCGTCATGGCATTAGGCTAGGGCCTCGAGATTTGGGGGCGTGATACCGTGTCAACATCCGCTTATACCGATTATCGTTCAGCTCCCTGCTCGTTGTCGCAGCTGCTTTTGAATTCGTACATGTTTGGCCATACACGTATACGCACATTCATCTAGATATGAAAGGTTCGTATGATCTGTACATATGTTATGTGTGTATGCATAGTGGCAAGAGTAGTACTACTAGTACTAGTACTAGTACTAGTACTAGTACTAGTACTAGTACTAGTACTAGTAGTAGTAGTAGTAGTAGTCGTCGTCGTCGTCGTCGTTGTAGTGGTGGTGGTAGTAGTAGTAGTAGTACTGCTAGTAGTGGTAGTAGTACTAGTAGAACTAGCCGCTGTGGCGTTCATGTAGCCAAGATTGTTTTGTCTGCTCTTTGTTATCGCCGCATGTTGACACCTCACATGCGCCTAGCGGCATGCTGTTTTGTTCCATCCTGGTGAGGGCTCGGAAGTGGTAATGCCAGGCAAGAAAGCCACTAAGAAACCTCCCAAGCACGATGCAAGTATGAACTGCTCAGTGCTGCTTCTTCCAGCATGGTTCTTGGAGTGTACCTACCATCTTCCGCATTAAGTTGGTGAAACCAGAACGAAGAGAGACTGCAGTCTTGTGTGGAGCTAAGCTCTTGCTGGAGCCAGGTCACGAGGACGACAAGTCAGCAGTTATCTCGGCCCCTCGGTTCGGCTTCGGGGGCTTTGTCGGACTAGCTTTCGGGCGTTGGCATAGCTTGTCTTGGACCTACGGTGTGGTCGAGTTTAAACGATTATCAAGCCTGATGTTTTTGTTTTTTTTAAGATCATTCCATGAATTAAAATTCCGTGAAATGCTCTGCTTCTCCATTTATTCAGGCTTGGGTTGGTTAGGGTTATTCAGGCTTGGGTTGGAGGTTTAGGGTTTAGAATGCTCAGGATCGAGTTTAAGCTGTTGGTTGGAGGGCCCCTGAAATCGAAAGGCGAGCAAGCAAATCCTGCAGGAAGGTTGGCAAGCTGCGCAGGATTGCTTCTCAGTCTTGTCAATAATTAGTAACGAGTAGTGAGAAAAGCAACTTCGGGTTTTAAGGTGTAGAGCCGTTTATGTAGGCTTTGATTAAC